CAGCTCATGTTCGTCTTGGAGTCAATAATGACTCCAAGATCCCTTTCTGCCTCCGTGCTTTCAAGAGGGGAACTCCCCAGCCTGTGTGCGCGCTGTGGATTCCTTCTCCCCAGGTGCAGCACCCTGCATTTGTCTGCGTTGAACCTCATCCTATTCTCGTCTGCCCGCTTTTGTATTCTGGCTAAACCCTTCAAGTGTGGCCACCTCACCCCACATCTTAGTGTCATCAGCAGACTTGGACAGCATGCTTTCCACCCCCTTGTCCAAGTTGCTGATGAAGATGTTAAACAGTGCAGGACCGAGCCCTGGGGTGCCCCACTGCCTTTCTGGAAAGCAGTTGGTTTAATAGGGCAGTGTAACAGGTGCAAAGGGATGTTCCCCTGTGACAAGAAGTAAAATAAATAGTCCTATACTCTGTTGATTTAAACAAATCTCTGAAATGAAGCTGTAAGTGATTGAGTGGTATTCAGGTGTAGAAGGTCTCAGTTGCTTCACCAAAAAGAGAGAGAAGATGCAGGCAGCTAGAACTGTACCTGTATGCCCATTGCATTTTCCCATGTGCTCCTTTCTTGTAAACGGAGAGGAGAATGAAGTGTCGACGCAGGTATCACTAAAGCTCCGTCCTGGTAAACTAAATTGTTTTAAGCAGTGATTACGCCGTTGTATATTAATGTTGGTGTGCATATTTCAATTGCAGACGACGAGGAGAGAGAACTTCAAATGGAGCTTGCAGACTATGGAAAGCCACGCTTTCAGTGATGCACTTTGAATGCTGAATTTTAACTTCATCTAAGGAAAGAGAAGAACTGAAGTGCTCTAAAACTGAACTCTTTTCTGCTTCAGTGTTTCTTAACTTACAAGAAGCTGGTAATAAACAGTGGTGATAGATTACTTAAAATAAGTATACTTGATATTAGTGAAGTAATGGAAGGAGAAATAGAATTCTGTATATACATGTACATAGTTGTACTATTGCAAATTGTATTATCTAAACCACATTTCTGTTAAAAAGTGAGCCAGTTAAACTTAGACTGTTCCTTACCTGTAATCTTTGCATTTAAAACCACAAATTCAGACTGAATTGTTTCTGCAAATTAGGGAAACTTTGTAAACTGGGGAATTTGTACAGTTTGTACCTTACATATGTAATGAATCCATTATGGAAACAATTGTACAGCTGAAGGACTCCTTTTATACAGTAATACCTGTATGAGCAAAAATACCTTCTCTGTTTGTTCATGAGTGCTGTGTTTTGTATTTCGCAGGTAAGCTTTCAGTTGAGGTTGAGAATTGAATGAAAATGTGTAAAAATACTTGGTGTTGCACCTTCCTTAATGTAACTAAGGAACGATACGAGTGACAGTGAAACATTATATTAATTCTGAAATGTCAGAGCAATTTAATTCTACTACGCGGTGACCAAAGCTCATATTCAGAGCTGGAAGTCAGTGCTATTAGAAGAGTAATAATTTGATGCGTTCTGGAAGGGGTCTAGGTAGCTGATTTCACTAAGTAAATTAAAAACTGAATCAGTATTTTAAAAACTTCTTGTAACAGAGCGGTAGGAAACTTATTTGCCTACACTTTAAAGGGTGCAAGTGTTTCTTCAGTTAGAAGTAAAGAGAAGTGTGCAGCAGCTTTGTTACAGAGACCACATTAGAAATAACTTAAGCAAAGTACAGCCTTTGCAGTCACTGAATATAATGTACGAACCCTCCAATTCACGACCATCTGATGTTTCAGTTCCTTGTGTTACTTTACAGTTGAATATTTTTATATAGATCTCTGCAAACATTTGGCATGTTCCACATTATTGCTTAGAAGAGTTTGTAAGTTAGATACTTTTTTTATTCTAGGTTTAAGACACTTTCTGAATTTTACAGAAATAGTTCTGTTCATCTGCAGTAAGCGGAAATCTAAGGTTAATAACCCTACCTGCTTCTCAAAAGGGCTACTGTGAATAGAATTTATAGGGCCTATGACAGGGCTGATTGTACTTTACTATCTCTGTACTCAGGTTCAAATTTAAAACTACATTATTACATTTACAGTTCATTGCAGTCATCCAGTAAACCTTTTTAATAAATTTAAAAGGCGATACCAGTTTTGACTAGAAAGATCTTCCAGTAACAACTCTTAAATATACAGTTTCTCTGTGAAATGAAAAATGAGAAGATTCTGCTTCTGCACCTTTAAGTGTTCTGTTTTGTTTTTTAAGACTTGAACTTCGTATACATACACCAGGACCATTCATGACACTGTTAAAAAAAAAAAAGAATAAACCTTTGCATGATGTGACCAAATGTAGTTTAACTGGAAAATAAAATGCTGATCCTGCTCAAAATGAGATGACATATTAACACAGGGGTGGGCAAAATGCAGCCCGGGGGCCAGATGCGGCCCACCAGGCCATCGTATCCGGCCCGCGGGGCCCCTAAAAAATTTAGAAAATTGATATTAATTTGCCCTGGCTGCCTTGCCCAAACTCAGTAAGTGGCCCTCTGCCCAAAAGAATTGCCCGCCCCTGTATGAACACCGCAAAGTAATATACAAACATTTCAAAATTCTAAAATGTAGAACTTTTCAGTAGCTAATACCGTACTTGTGCACTACAAAGTTATTTCAATCTTAAGAAACTTGTAAAATGCAGTTTCACCCCGAAGTAGATGTTAACTCAAAGTTTCTCCTACTGAAACCAACACTTAATGGGTTCTAATAAAATCGTTTTGAGATCAGTTTGTTGTGGCTGGCTCTGTTTTGGGTCCTTGTGTCTGGTTTTTACTTCAGGCAAACCATCCGTTTATCTGAGGTGATTCTTTTTACCTTGACTTCTGTTGATTTTTTTTTTTCTGGGTTAAATTAGGGTTTGTTGTTTTTTTTTTTAATCAAGTATCAGTAAATATGAGCCATGCTGAAGTGCTGTGAAAACTGCTTCGTGCGAGCCAACTATTATGGTTGTATTTTTGGGATCAGGCCACAAGATACATTATCACTTGTGAAAGATGGACCGCTGCAGGACTCGGCTCCCTTCTAGGTTGGCTGTAAAGGGAAATTACCACGTTTAAGTGCTAAGTGCCAGAGAGAAGTATGCACACGTTCCTTACAGGCCGTCAAAAGAGTAATTCGGATGGTAAACAAATTGGTCGTTCTACAGTAGCTATGAGAATGATCCAGGTATATTTGTTATAGCCTGGTCTCAAAATATCAATTCAGAATAACTTTACCAACAAATCTGTTGCTCCTGTGGTGGAAAAGTTCTATATTTATTTTACTTACTATGTGTAGATCTTGCTTAACTGTCATTATATAATGTAATGCTTTCCAAAAATTTTTTTTTTTTTTTTACAGATGCATTTGACTCCTGGGTTTCAGACCTTGTGGATTTTATTGTAGGCTGCCTTGAGCCTTCTTTAGATACGGTGGCATATAAATCCAAACAGACAGGTTTTGTGGTACACGTGGTTCCATGCGAGTCAAGAACATTGTCACCACAACTGTCTCCTAACCAGCATATGGGTGTCTTGGGTTCTTTGCCCATTTCATGGATTTCTTAAAACTATTTGTCACAACCCAAAGTTGTGGATTTTTTGATTGTGTGCGCTTCGGCACCGCTAAATTATGTTCCCGCTGAATTGCAGCTCTTTTGCACAACGGAGTGTTCTGTTGTTATGGAGAGCCCGCAGAACGTGCAGAAAAGTGCTTCCTGCTGTTCTGTAGCCTCCTTTGCATTGTGCAT